GATTCATACTCTACTCTGTATCATCAGTCCCGACAGACAGAGGACAAACTATTGCGGCGTTTTATTACTCTATTGGCTGAAAACTCGAGAAGCGCCAGCGAAAATACCAGATGAGTGTTTGGTTTTTCTTTTTTCTTTGTATTAAATTTTTTTATCTCTTATTGAGTACCTCAACGTCGCTGGACCAGTTCCCAGGTCAAAGGTGAATTGCACGTGACCAGATGAAAGGTAGAGAGCGATGAAATCCCCCGTGGCATCGCTGTGATGCCCATTGTACAGAATTACACCGTCCTGTGTCATGGGTTTCAGTGTTACTGACAATTCCAGCCATGACAGCGAGCTATCTCCCAGACCCGGGTAACGCAGGTATGATGATCCATTGAATGAAGGTACCTGGTAATTAGTTTTTTATATATTCACATGGAGTTTTAAATTATAGATTATGAAATAATTTTATTAAAAATTAAATGGTGATCCTCCATGAAAAAAAAATATATTTTAAATATATTAAAAATATATAGGTGATTCTCTGTAAGGATGTTTTTCGCTGTCCCAGGTATTTTTTTATTGGAAAAATTGTTATTTTGTTACTAAAAAAAAATTATTACGAAAGTAAAAAAACATTTCTATTTGGAGCATTGAAAACTAAAATGAAATAAATTTTGGTTTTTTTGCTATAAATTCGTAAACCACCGAAATAACAGTCCCCTGGGCTGTCCCATTCCCAAAATTAGAACTTTAAGATTAAATTTTAAGTTATTCGTCCATAATATATATAATTTGGTCCATAATGTTGATAAACTTAATTAGTTAACTAACAATCTTCTTCAATAAAAAGTACCGAAAATTAATTTGTTTCATTAAATTCATTAAACCAAATTTTGTCCCAGGCATTTTAAGAACAGTCCCCTGCCAGAAGTTCAAAGCCAAAAAAAAAATCCAGCGTGTTATTTTACCTTTTGTAAGGTTTATACGGATCTAACTAGCCTTAAGTTAATAACCATAGGGCTGTTAGCGCTTTATCGGCATTTTATTTAGTGTCAAAGCACCGTTTGTGTTGGAAATATGTGTCTGGGCCACTTCAAAACTCAGTCCCCTGGCAACTATTTTTATTTATAATTTATTTATAAAATTAGATCCATAAGTCTTAATATTATTCTAATTAATGTAAACATTCATTGAGAACTTGAAAAGTTGAATGCATTGAAATAGTTTGCTTGATTTTTCTCAATTTAATAAAAAAAAAA